TTGGGGCCCGACAGAGAACCCACTTGGGGCCCGACAGAGAACCCACTTGGAGCCCGACAGAGAACCCACTTGGAGCCCGACAGAGAACCCACTTGGAGCCCGACAGAGAACCCACTTGGAGCCCGACAGAGAACCCACTTGGAGCCCGACAGAGAACCCACCCCGCGCCCAACCTTTCATGGAGAAAATTTAACACCAGGCGACAAAAATAATTGCAGAATGAAGTCTAGTTTCATACCATGAACGGTTGAGGGTCACAGGGCTAACAACACTGCAAACTAGGCATGCCAGGATGGATCTCACCGAAACTATTAAAATATCGACTTGAGAATGATGGTCCAGGACGGACCGAAACTCGTCGTCCCTTCAACTTCTAGTGTGGTCTGGTCAACATACTTCAGCCACGTTATTGTGACTCATCGCCTGCCTATTAAAATATTGAACAGTTTCGAAGACATGGATCCAGAGAACTTCAAAAGGTCAGATGGAACACAAACAAGGAACAACGGTTTCAAGTCCAACAAGCCGCAGCGTAGGACTGAAAACATAGCTATATTTTCGCCCACAGGGTTATAAACCCATGGAACCGCCTATCTGCTAAAGCAGTTTTTTTTTTTTTTTTTTTTATTATTATTATTTTCTACCACAGACGTGGCCCCACAGCCCTTTATATTATATAATTCTATATACTGTGTATATATAAGATATAAATATGTCAAAAAGAATTATCACTCTTACCTGGAGCAATGTTGGTGATGTCGGAAATCAGCGGTACATGCTGTCGCGTTGGCGGCATCAACGATACTGAGCGGCTGAGCCTTCAACGACCAGCGGTTGAACGCCATTTTGAAATTCCAGGCGTACTACCCGAAAAGTGCTTAAACTAGTACTTGCGTGCATTATAGGCCATTCCAAGAAACCTTATTGCTATGAATATCTTGTTATCTAACAAACGAATTATTTATGTTAATATTTTTAGCACATATGTTAAATTAGGCCATTTTTCATTTAGAGGGGGTATATATATATAGCTATTTACATTTTAAGTTTGAAAAATTACCGTACAAAATTGAATGCAAAGATAAGATAAGATTTATTTATACAACCCTGTTTGGAAATTAACTCCTTTTACAATGAAATAAGACGCAAATAAGAACCTCAATTATAAATAAATAAAAAGTATAATTTATATATATTTATTTACGGTATAAAAAGTCGTAATTTGAAACTGAAAATAGGTGCAGAGAGTCAGAATTCGGCTGAAGAATCACGCTCAAGTGTTAAATTTCCGATATATCAGATATTTTGAAAAGTGCAAGAGGGTTTGGGCAAAATATGACCCATCGCCGTTTTCAGTAATTGGCATATTTTCGGTATAAAAAGTTGTAATTTGAAAATAAAAATAGGTGCAGAGAGTCATAATTCGGCTCAAAAATCACGCTCAGGTGTCATATTTCCGACATTTCAGATATTTTGAAAACTGCAGGGGGGTTTGAGCAAAATATGACCCATCGCCGTTTTCAGTAATTGGCATATTTTCGGTATAAAAAGTCGTAATTTGAAACTGAAAATAGGTGCAGAGAGTCAGAATTCGGCTCAAAAATCACGCTCAGGAGTCAAATTTCCAACTTTTCAGATATTTTGAAAACTGCAGGGGGGTTTGGGCAAAATACGACCCATCGCCGTTTTCAGTAATTGGCATATTTTCGGTATAAAAAGTCGTAATTTGAAAATGAAAATAGGTGCAGAGAGGCAGAATTCGGCTCAAAAATCACGCTCGGCTAGGAGTCAAATTTCCGACATTTCAGATATTTTGAAAACTGCAGGGGGGTTTGGGCAAAATATGACCCATCGCCGTTTTCAGTAATTGGTATATTTTCGGTATAAAAATCGTAATTTGAAAATGAATATAGAATTTTCCAATGCTCTCACTTAGTATTAAGTTTTAGTCGAAGTGTTTTTTTCCTTGTCCGAAACGCTGTGCGTATTAGTGGCTTTAGTCATTGTATGTACTAGCGCTATCTAGAAATCCAACATTATATTTGTAACTCATCTTGTATGTATGTACTTTTACCTGAATAAACATTTAATTTGATTCGATTTGACCTTACCAAAAACTGGACTACTCCTATTGCAAATTCACTACTTTTAGCCCGTCAGCTCGCTACTTCTAGCAATTTGGATCTGGCGTCCCTTTGTTGACCCGTCCCCGTCCTCTGTAGACACATGGTGTAGGTGGTACTGGAGAGGTGTTGGTGGTACACGATAGGTGCAGGTGGTACTGGAGAGGTGCAGGTGGTACAGGGGAGGTGCAGGTGGTACTGGAGATGTGCAGGTGGTACAGGGAGGTGCAGGTGGTACTGGGGAGGTGCAGGTGGTACTGGGGAGGTGCAGGTGGTACTGGGGAGGTGCAGGTGATACAGGAGAGGTGCAGGTGGTACTGGAGAGGTGCAGGTGGTACAGGGGAGGTGCAGGTGGTACTGGGGAGGTGCAGGTGGTACTGGAGAGGTGCAGGTGGTACACGATAGGTGCAGGTGGTACTGGAGAGGTGCAGGTGGTACTGGAGAGGTGCAGGTGGTACAGGGGAGGTGCAGGTGGTACTGGAGATGTGCAGGTGGTACAGGAGAGGTGCAGGTGGTACAGGAGAGATTCAGGTGGTACAGGAGAGACATTAGTCAAGTCACAGCCCCGCTCCTGTGCCAGGTAAGTCCACTACGGGCTCACCATAGCCCGTGCTACTTGGAACTTTTTGTTTCCAGTAGCTGAATCTTAAACAACAACAACGGTACAGGAGAGGTGGTAGATACCTGGGTACCACGACACAAATGTAGTCTCCGTCAGCCCACGTAGCATTGCTCTCTCAGCCCTAAGCTCAATGTATAATTTAGAAATTAATAAACTTTGCCTGTAACCCCGAGGTGATATTTAAGTTTTGACCCGAGAGGCGAGTTTACATTCACTCATTCTGTTAAAGAACATACCAATATTTACCTGAGGGGCCGCCATATTCAAATTCAAATTTGTATTCTGGTAAAAGTACATACATAGAAGATAAGTTACAAACATGATGTTAGATTTATAGATAGAGCTAGTACATTCAATACCTAAAGCCACTAATATGCTTAGTGTTTCGGGCAATGTCTGGGGGAAAAAAGCACTTTGACTAAAACTTAATAGTAATTGAGATTAAAGTATAAATTATGTTGAAAAAAGGGGGAAAAAAAGGGTGGGGAGGAACATGGCAGAAATCAGCAATTGTACAAGTTGGTCAACAAACTGCTTTGTTTAAATAGCAAGACATGGGTTGACATTTAGAGGGTAAGGTAGGTTACATGGCATTTATTAGGTAGTACTTAGTTTTTCTCTTAAACTGGTTGAGAAAGGTACAGCCTTTGACATGATTGGGATGTCATTCCACATTCTGGGTCCCTTGTTTGTAGAGCATTTCTAGTTTGGTTACGGCACACTCTTGGAATAGCAAATAGGTATTTGTTTCTGGTGTGGTGCCCATGGGTTCTGTTACAACCTTCTAGGAAGTGTTAAAGGTCAGGATTGACATTTACAGTTCAGAGTTTTAAATATATAGACTACACTTGAGAGGATGTGCAGTGACTTAAAATCTAACATATTCAGATATTTAAGTAAGAGTACCGTGTGATGTCTGGGGCCAGAGTTAGATATTGTTCTAATAGCAGCTTTGTGTTGAGTAATTAGAGGATGTAAACAATTTTGGGTAGTAGAACCCCAAGCACAAATACCATAGTTGAGATAAGGATAGATGAAAGAGTAATAGAGCATCACCAAGGCAGGGCGAGGTACATAATATCTGATCTTGGAAAGAATGCCAACAGTTTTAGAAACTTTTTTTTTTGCTATGTTTAGAATGTGTGCATATCTAGTGGCCTTGACGGGGACAGGAAGCCGGCATCTTATCAAATGTCCCTCGATTGTCCCTGAGGATTTTTTTCCAGCTGGGTTTTGAACTGAAGTAATGCCTTGGCATCTATGGCTTCGGCAGGTAGATGGTTCCATGTATTTAATTTATAATCTATGGGTGAAAAACCATCTTCTGTTTCCTGTCCTATGTTGTGGCTTGTTGTACTTAAAGCTATTGCCACATTTATGCATTACATTTGTCTTTTTAAAGAAGTGGTCTTTTGCAACCAAATTCTAGGAATAGTCCAGAAAAACTTTGACTTGGACAAAACGAAGGTAGTTGTACAACTGTAAATCTCCAGTGTGCCTCCCACTTGGGTTATTGTATTCAAGCATCCTCTGAAAGACATATCTGCTTTGGAGAAAGTTCAACACTAGGCAACAAAAATAATTCCAGAAGTTGGTCAACTCTGAGACCAGGAACGGTTGAAGGCCACGAGGCTAACGACACTTCAAACTAGACATGATCGGGCTGATCTCCTTGAAACCTTTAACTGCTGTACTGATCAGTTTGGAGGATATTGATCCAGGCAACTTCTTCAAAAAAGGTCAGATTTAACTCAAACTAGGAGCAATGGTTTCAAGCTGACAAATGGGGAGGACCTTTGACAAGCTGCCAGCTTCCTGTCCTCATCGAGGCCACAAGGATGTTAGTGGCCACTTTGGTAAAGCATAATAAGCCACAATGTAGGACAGAAAAAGGAGATGTTTTTTCACCTAAAAGGGTTATAAACCAATTTGGCTGCCGCCCATTGAAGCCATAAATGCCAAAACACTGCTGAATTTCAAGATCCAACTCGATAAAATCAGGACAAATGTACCATTTTTAGTACAGGGTATTTGCCGTCTGTCACCCCATATTATTTAAGTTTCTTTTAAATTTTATAAGGAAAGAAAATGTAAAAAATAAGTGGTAACTTTATACTGGGTATCCAGTTATGAAGAACTGACATCAATATCAGAATTTAATATGAAATTCTGTGTATTCCAGGAAATATATGAATAAAAAACAAATGATAAGAGTTAAATTATATACTGTACTGCAATTATGAAAATTCTTTCAGACTGATATGATTGGAGTACTGCTGTAAAAGTACTGCATTGAGGGAGTGAAAATCTAATATTGGGACGTGAAGAAAGGATCTCTGGTGGCACTCCATCATGTCTCGTAACAAGCGTACAGTACTTGTTATAGTGAGTTTTTATTATTATATTATTGCGTATTTAACCTTTAGTGATGCATTATTGCAGCTCATTTATTTATCCTTGAACTATCATTCTGCTGCTTCCATAGTTTAGACAGTACATGTATACTGCATACCTTAGTTTTGTAACCTATAGTCATGCAAATTATATACTGTACTTCACTGTCATCACAGGCATTTTTGTCCCATATATTCACCTTTTAATAACTACTGCAGTACAGTACTTGTAGCTCCTTCATGTAAAGTCTCTGGTATCCGGTAATTTTGGGCCTAAAAACCCTGCGGTGCCTGCAACATGTTGTTTTTACATATTAATATCACACCTTACTGATCAGTGGTTCCCAAGGATTGAGCCACTGAACATTCAGGACCTGATACCAGTATTTGACTGAAGGTCGCTCCATTGTCCATCTGCCTAAATGGCTGAATATTCAGAAATATGGCAGGTTTTTATAGTAGTGTTATCATAATATACAAAGCTTTACTGTAATGCTTACATTCCCTTATTGTCATGGGAGTTATTTAGGAGTCTGTATACTACACCCAGGAGAACTGGACACTGCAGTGCATTATACAGTATCAGATTACTTAAATATTGTATTTTAGTTAATATCTCTATAAATACTGCACCTTCAGACATGATTGTAACAACATTTTATAGATATAAATCTACTCTATTGATATTTATTTTTTATTTATTTGTATATACAAGAGTTCTTACATTCTTGAACAGCCACTAGCATGCATAGCATTTCGGGCAAGTACTTAATCCTATATTTCCCGGAATATGACCCACCAAATCGTTTAACAACCAGGTACCCATTTTACTGTTGGGTAAACAGAGACTACAGTTAATAATTGATGTCCAGTAAATCCTTCCCCGGTCAGGATATGAACCCAGGACAAAGCGCTCGCAAAACGCCAGGCGAGTGTCTTACCACTACACCACAGGGACTGCAATGTTTGTCACGAGTGTTTGCAGAAAGGTATTTTTTAATTTGATTAACTAATAGAATGACATTGGGGCTGGATAATGACAACTGTAAGCTAGTACAGATGGCTGTGAAGATGTAAACAATCTACATTAATCTTTTAACACACAGGAAGATGATGATGATGAGGAGGACTATCAGAGCCAATCTCAGAGTCAGACGGGGGCACAGTTATCGCCAGAGGATAAAACTAAACTTGCTGGTATTGTTTGCAATTTTTTGCTGGTAGCTGAAAGCAAGAAGGTGGGTGCAATAAGTTTGATCCCATCGTAAATTACTTTAATGTGGATATTGCTTACACAAGTTTTGTTGTTGTTGTTGTTGCTAAGGACCACATGACTACTTCTTTTCTGGTATTAAATATAATGCAATAATTAGTTAAGGTTTTAAGCTCAAAGCTCCACAACACTTCCAAACACGCCATATCCTCAGTTTGTTATATATATTTTGATGTTGTACTACATTTGTAGGTTAATCTTCAGTCATCATGATTGGGTTCCAACTGGAAGTAGTATATCTGGCTTGGCTATTCATCCTTGCAAAATTGTAAACTGCCTTTTGAAAAGTAGATAGTTCAGGGTCAGTTATGTAATGAGGAGACCAAGAAACAAATTCGTGATCTTTGTGGGTCAGTCATAAAGAACAGGAAACAAGCTTGTGGTTTCATGCTGTCTGTATGTACTATTCGGATGTTTCAGTTAGTAAATTTGCTTTACTTGGGTGAGCGCTTGTTGCTTTTAGTTATTGGTATGTATATGATGCTGGTCCTTAGTGTGTTAACGAATACAGAATGTAGCGTCTAATTTAACTTTATAGATGAGCATATATCCAAGACTTCCCCCTCCCCCCCCTCTCTCTCTCTACCTCCATCACCGTCCTCTACTCGGTTGTTCCTTCAAGCTATTTCCATGGGCAGGAATATACAGCTGGGGGAGGTTGACATTTTGCACCAGCAAACTGGGGATCTTTTCAAACATCCCTATTGGGTTATAATGGTGTAAAGGAGACACTGGAGGATTCCTAATCCAGTTACCTCCAGAATGCCAATTAATCTATACTTTGAACTTTAAGTGCTACATGACATAAGTGACTGCCAAGGAACGTTCTCCTTATCACTAGTTGGCAATCCTGGCTACTACTCTGAACTGCCTCCAATTGTTAGCACCCACATGTCAACAGGGTACCCAGGCATTGCCACTTCTTTTTTCTTTTGACTGTTTCCTTATGCACTTTGGGCTGGCAGATAACATTATTCAGTTTAGCAATTTGTGTTTTTCTTTATAAACTTTTATTACATTGTGCAGTGGGCTTATGCTGTTAGTGTGCACATTTTGTGTTTAGTTATTGTGTATCTGGATTTGGTAAACTACCTCCATTTCAGTTATCCTGTGTATGCTGGTTTGGGTAGTTTCTCAGCAGTAGATAGTCTCCTTGAGTTTTTTACTACATTACTTTTCCAACTCTTTTATGAGTTTCTCAAGATTTAGACATTAGTGCTGGGCACAAGTTATACCGAATTGTTCTGCTGCATGTCACCAATTCATGATTATGCGGTTTGTTTTGTTTACGTGGTCACATTACTGGGGAGGTGGAGGATCAATGGGAGGGTGAAACACCACCACCACCACCAACAACAGAATACCTGGGATCTTATTCCTTACTACATTGATCAGCAAATTAAGTATGCCTCCAACAGCGAAGATGTTAGAAATTTATATCGGTAATTCAGTATGCCTCTTAAAAAGGGAGGTCAAGCCAAAATGAAGGTCTTGAGAGCCAAAGACAACCAAGTAACAAAGGCTCGGCATCTGGCATTTAAAGCTGAACTTGCCAAGTACTGTACAGTATTTGTACAGTCTAGTTATTTTATGGTTAGGTAAGTTTAATTAAGCTGCTAATAAGCAAATTTTTTATTTTTATTTTAATATAAAACATTCCAGTTTGAGAAAGATTGTGATAGCTTTGAGATCCACCAAGGTAAAATTTGTTAGTTCAGTTTTACTTCTATGAAAATGGTGCCATAACAATGTAATTCTATTATTAATATATGTGGAAATACAAATTTAATTGGTTACAATATTTAAAAAAAAAAAAAAGTGCGCCAAAATTTTTTTGGAGTTGTATTCGGATATCCTTGTAACTTGGATAAGGGTCCACCCCATATTATACGAATTGGTGAGCAATATTTTCATCTAGTCTTATGAAGCAGTTGTGGATGACTCACTTGAGTGTTGTGGTGATTCTCTGTAGTGCACAAGATGAATGGATGCAATTATCATCATCATTTATTTATATACTGTATATACTACTTATTTTCTCTGGTTTAATGCCTACCAACTTCAAATTGGAAAAATGTGAGATTATGATTTTGGTCAATAATAGGCATTTTCAGAATGTAACTTATGATTCACCTTATTGTTTCTCATAATTGGAGACAGGAAGTCTGTTAGGCTTATCAAGGAACTTGCCCAACCAACTCTGTCCCAACTGGGATCAACCCCAAAATTGTGTATTGTGACCCAAGGACATTAACCATTGGACTACTGGACTTACATGTACAGTATTGAGAATAGTGAAATGTTTAACTTTTATTTATTACTGTATTAGGTTATGAAACTGAAACCAATTGTCATTTATTTTACAGATACCAGTAAAGAGGTCAGATATTGTGAAAGCAGTCTTGAAAGAACATGGACGGCAATTCACTGCAGTTATGGCTCAAGCAACTGATATCTTGGAAAAGGTATGGATATTACAAATTTTCCTACTACAAACTAGATACTTGTCTTAGGCCTTGTAAAGTTTGCCTGCCTTATGTCGTCTCAAAAGTAATTAAGGGTTAACATTACATTTAATAGTACACTTTATTGAAGCATGCTGTCAATATTGATTTCCTGTTTTATGCATTCAGAGAGAACCAATGAAGAACCTCATAAAAAGTCCACCGATTAATCATTTTGAGAAAAATTGTAATACAATACTGTATCCCATACATTATTTTTTCTTTCTGATGAAATTAATAAAAATTTTCCCATAATTTTGGGTCCTCTCAATCAGTTTTTATGGCTTGTTAGTTCACGACACATTTTAGTCATTTTACCTCCAAGTAAAGGGTTGTGGCTTACATTTGGGGAAGTGAGAGTGTACCAAGCCGGCTTTCCTTCTCATCTGACCCCTTTTTAGTGAAGTTGCACCATTGAGCTATTGTTTTGAGTCAGGTTACAAGTTCTGAACTTTACCCCTCCTTATCTTTGCAAAGCTTCTGAGTATTTTTTTTCTCTTTGGTGTTCCATAGAATCCATGTGTCCATGTTCCATATAATTTGCCCTGTCTTGATACATGGCTTGGTCTTTAGTCTTTAACCTCAGTTTCATATATGGTGACACTCCCGCCCCCCTCCTCACTGTCTTCCATATGCTAACAAGAGTCCTCAATGAAGGTAAGATATATGTACTGCATTGTGGCTAGTACAAAGAGTGGTATTCCGTATAAAATGTATTTTTAAGTTAATATTTTTGGGGGTGTGGAATGGATTAATTCAATTTACATTATTTCTAATGGGAAAATTTGTTTAGTCACGAATTTTCGAGTTATGGCCCGTCTCTGGGAATGGATTAAATTCATAAGTGGAGGTACCTCTGTATAGTTGGCCAGGCAGTAGTGCACATATGACTTTTGGGACTTTTTAATGCTAATTTTTCTGGGACCAAATAAATAAAAGGAGGATTTTCTCTTTCAGGTTTTTGCTTACAAAGTAGTTGAGTTAGAGAGTAAGAAGAACAATTACATCTTGATCAACAATATTGGCACGGCTCATTCTGACAATGAAAACACTTGCAAAGGAAGTGATGCTGCCAAGATAGGGCTTCTAACTTGCATACTTGCAGGCATATTTATGACTGGTGAATTGATGCCTGAAGGTGAGTGTAGCTTTTCAGTTTAATTTGTTCTTTTTAATTATATTGTTCACATGTGATAAATTTTTCTAGACCTCTACAATAAATCACAATCGGATATGAGCAAGGACTTCCAATTGACAAAGGAAAACAATGCTACACTCAGTATTAATAAAATCTAAATACTGTACAATGCTTTGGCATTGAAAAATTGTAAACTGTAAACTGAGTACAGGATACAAGACTGATCTCCTCATAGAAAGGCATGACCTAGTCATAAAGCTACGAGTAACGTAAGAAAATAGAGATCCTTTACAGTCCACATAAAACCAACGAAACGGTTAAACTGTGGTACCAGGACTGCCTGAAAACAAAAAGAGAAAGTGTAACGTTTTAGAGTAGAGATGAGAGAGATAATAATTCAGGAAGAACTATTTGTAAGTCAGGAAGTATTCCTGGATCTTCATGATACCTGGTAGAACATTCCCAGCCACCCGCAAAGTTCAGGGATTCGCTGGGGTCTAGAAAGGAGCATGGGGATTTATGTATTGTAATTCTACTCCTTATGTTTTTTCTACAGTGAAAGGGTGAAGCATAATAGCCCCTATATTTAAATATCTAAAATTTTTAATAATTTCCAGAAGTAAAAAGTAGAGTAGATAGGCAATGGGAAAACTCTTCATTATGCAAGTGAATTTTTAAGAGTTTTTTGCATACTCTATAATCTGTAAATTAATGCAGATTGATCCACAAATCATTTTATGTGGTAAGAATGCTATGTGTTGCATGTAATGTGATTGGTTTCAAATGTTTAAGATATGGTGCTCATGTATGTTTAGTTTTACTAATTTGTATCGCTATATAATATATATATATATATATATATAAATAATATACACATTTGTGCAGCTTACATGATTAAACAAACTTTCAGAGAGTTTTCCCTCTCTTTGAGGTCGAGAACATGATGATTTCTTAGCACACCTCATTAGTTTAAGTCTGATGTGTTGCACAATGGGAAACTTGTACATTTAATATTTTACTTGTACTTATTTCATTAATTAACTCAGAATTGCTTTCTCAGGTTCAATGAAGGAATATCTTAAAAAGTTGGATATTGATCTGGATTCGAAAGAAGTACATCCTGCTTTTGGCAATATCTCAAAACTCATAAATCAGGTGAGGGTTTATTGTAAGTATTACTGTATTCATCAGTATGTATAGACAGATGTTCACCTTTACCCTTAGGCAGTGGCCATGTAGTCATACTCTCCCCTATATGCAAAAAAGAGATTCCCCAAAAAAATTTGTCATTATAAAATTGCTAATTTGTATTCAGAATCTAAATAAAACGCAAAATTAAGTAAATACTCTATTGCTTCACTGAGTGGAGACGCTCTGCAAGGCTTCGTCTAGCATTTGTCAACGCCTCATGCTCGACTTTGCTGTTTTATTGATTATTTTATCACATGTTTTTCTTTATAAAAAACTTTCTTTGAATTTAAATATTCACATTTGCATCATATGGTACATGTAAAACCCAGACGATAATTATTTAAATTGTCCTATGAAGATGACAACATTCCCCAAGTAAAATTCATAACAACTGCATTTTTATCATGAAATGGTAGCAGGATTTTTTCATGAATCAAGATAAACTCCATAACATCCACATAGACCTATTATATTCATATTTGCATCATATATATGTAAAACCCAGACAATAATTTTTTAAATCTTCATATGGTGACTGTATTAAGCTGTGAATCAACAATTGATGATAACCGGTGTCTAAGGGTTAAAGGGTTAACAAACTCCTGATTGATCTCATTCATGTATGGAATTTACCTCGACTATTACATTGGCTAATGCATTATGCTGCTGTTCTTGCTTCACTCTGAAGATGGTTTTTATATCTTAGTCTGATGTGCAGCATCTATCTGTGCCCCCTCATTTTGGTCTCGGATCTATCAAAGAGCCTGTCTTTTTTCACCATGTTAATACAGTACCTCTTAAGTATCTTGCATGTTGTAAAATTGTTCCTTTTTATGCTTATTGTATTGTGATAGCTCTTTCAGCCTGTCCTTGTAGTTCAGGTCATTTATTTGGTTCATAGTAGTAGGCATCCATCAGTCTCAGAAGACTATGGAGTTGGCAGGTACTCTGGTGTCGGCCTGGTCTGGAGTGGCTTCACCAGGGCGCAAAGCCAGGGTAGGTTGATTCGGGGAGAAGCTGTTACCCAGGCAGCAGGTCCCCCTCTCCACGGTGCTGAAAGTCTCCAATGGAAAGGCATACGCCAATACGATTGGTTCCAGTGCCGTCGCAGGAACTGAGAGTTCCGGGGATGACCTCATAGGGGATAGGTTGACCTAACCCCTATGAGGTCATAGTAATGACTATGGGAAAATGCATGCCCTCTGCTTTGACCAAGCCATGGTAACCTCTCAGGCTTGAGCTGTGTCCTGTGCTCATCCATGGTAGTTCTGGATATTGCGGCCTGTCTTGGCCTTTCTGAAGGAAAGATGGAGTTCTTGTGATTGTGTGTTCTAGGGAAGGTCTTTGGCTATTTTTAGCTCTCTTAGAAGATTCTTTTGGCTATAATTTCACTCATCTGGTTATTAGGATTTCCACTCAAGTAGGTATGTCTGCATTGGGATCTATTGGTTTTTTATTCACATGTGCAATGGTGGTGGTCCCATGTGTATGAAGTGTACTGACCTAGTGATCTGTGTTTTTTTTTAGGGTTCTTGTCATTCATTTGTATTTTGCAATACCTCGCAAAACAAAACAGACTGCACAGACTGCATCTCAAGATAACCTCAAGATATGGTTTACCTGCTGGGTTTGATCTTGCTTTTGCTTGCCAAAAAAGACAAAAGATTGTGGTCTCTTCTGGATTTCTCTTTTAACCCATTTTCTAGGAGGGTCTTGTTACCTCTTCAGTTTAAAGTTTGTGCCCTTCTGGGCTGTCGGTTCCTGGCAGCTGGAATCTTGTGGTTCCCTATGTATCTGACTGACTCTTGAGGCTGTACACCGGTCTTCCTGCTCCTTCCTGGTCTTTACCGAGGATTTCTCTACAGGTAATTCTCATGACTAAGGGTTCTGGATTTCAGGAACCTGCCTGGTGCTTTCTTGTCTGAAGGTTTCCTTTGTTTCAACCTGTCTTTGGTTGGCTTTACAGGCTAGGGTACATTTTGGGTGGTTCTCCTGAGGATGTCCATCGGCCTCACCAGACTTGTATTATGTTTCTGACGTTTGGCATATTTTGGGGTCCCCCTTTGCCCCAATCCCAGTTTTGCTCAGTTTCCACAGGTCAGCCTTGGCGGCATTTGTTTCCAAAACTGTGAACCCACTTTACTGAGACTTGTGACTTTACAAAAGAAATACGGGAATTGAGGAAAATCAACACGCTTAGAAAAAATGTTAAATGTAATGATATGCATTTTTCTAGTGGGGTCCTAGGTCCCTGGCCTGCATGGTGGGGCTCATTTTGGGCAGCTTTTGAATGGAAAGGGTTAGCTAACTGAGGTAACCTGATCCTCCACCTAGTGTGATGGCCATATGCAATATGGCTGATATATTTACATCACATAAATGAGCATTTGCATTGTTACCTTTTAGGTTTCTAATTTCTTTCTAACTCATGCTTGTTTTCTTGCACATGTGCATTTTGATAGGTTTTTAAGTTTGCTTTGTTTAATCAATTCAGATTCTTATATTCTAGCTTTTGGTAGGCAAGGTTGGGTCTCAAAGACCTGGTGTGTCTCTGTAAGACATGGCTTGACCAGCACTTAGCACAGGAAGATACTGAGGGCCCCATCAGAAAAGAATAGTCATCACATTTAATGCTTGATTTTTCTATGGTCCCATTTTGCAAACTTGGTTTGTTTGGCCATGTATCTTTCTCTTTGAAGTTTCTTGTGCCGTGTCTCAATCTTTGTATGTTTGTTCCTTATAACAAGGTTTGTCTCCCATTTCCAAAGCTGAGTTGTGAAGTTTAGTCACCTCCATACTTTATGCACATGAGCTCGGGAAGTATGCTATGCTCACTGTCCTTTTTTTCGTCTATCTCTTGTTTGGAGATTTGGAGCGTGAGAGTTCTGGAGGTCGGCTCGTATCTTTTCTGCTAGATACCTACCGAGTCTTTGCATTCCCAGCAATTATATGTTACACTTACCTGCCTCTCGTTGATCTTATACCAGTTGGAAAGTTGGCTGTTTTGGTGGTAGTTTGACTCGCTACTCCATGGCCCTTCTGTTCCATCTGATAAAGTTCCTCCTACCTTTTTGGTTTTATGTAGTAGAGGTTTCCTTCTTCTATTGAAGTTTGCTCAAGGATACAGCTAAGAGGTGTTCTCAGAAATAGGGCATCGAGTGAAACAAATTGCCCATATCTGAGCCATTCTTTATTGCTCCCATTACATTCCTCTTTGTCCAGTCCTTCCCAAGTATTCTTGGCTTGACCTCCATCTACTCCATTTTGGTACTGGTCAGGGAAGCAGCTGAATGTTTTGCCAATAATTAGTAATGTGAGAATTAACATTATTATATTGACATTTTTGGCTAGAGGGAATGTCAAGTTTAAATTGTTTTATACAGTAGTCAGGTGCTCTCTCATTAATGGTTTAAGTTAAAATTCACCACTATCTTCTCCAACTACATGACCAAATAATAGTATTTGAAAAGTTATTTGTCATGTATGGTTGAGGGAAGTATAGTATTCCCTTCTTAGCCAGTCACTAGGTTGTTTCCTTAAGGCAGCAATGTGGGCTCACAAAGACTCATCTCGCTTGCGAGGCTCTGAAGAAAATTCTTTAGAGCCTGACAGGTGGGCCGAGTTTCTGTGAGCCTTACATTGTCTGCCGACTTGAGGAAACAACCGAGCGACTGGCTTAGAAAGAAATACGTTGCTTCCCTCGACCAAGTTTTGTATATCTTTATGCACACCATAATTCATATACCATTAAGCCTTAAATTACATAGCAGTATCATGTGTTCAGACAAACCTTCAGATGTTCCTCATATTGTTTTTGTATTGCATGTATATTTTAGCACATTTAAAAAATTTATATAGCTAATAGCAGAGAGAGAGAGAGAGAGAACTATTATTTACATTTATGGTTCACAGGATTTTGTAAGACAGAAATATTTAGAAATAACCCAGGACACGACTGCAGATCCTCCTACCCGTGAATATCGCTGGGGAGAAAGGGCCCACCATGAGCTCTCCAAGAAAGATGTACTTGAATTAGTCTGCAAGGTAAGTTGAAGTGTTACTTTTTGTTAGTGCTTTTTTTGGTAATGAATGTATTAGTTATAGCTCCTAGCAAGAATCTGATGCTATTTTCTCCTGCACCCTCTCATGAAAAAAGATATCACAATGATCATAAAAATATTTTTGTGATCGTTGTTGCATATATATAATACAGTGAAATATCCTGTACAGATTGACCATAGCATCAGATGTAACATGATATTTTCTGATAAAACTGGAATGAAGTTCAAGAAAAGCTTCCTTGTGGTTATATTTTGGATATATAAAGTGAATAGTAGGGGGGGGGTGCTCTGAAATATATTGAATATAATGGAGTTGGTGGAAAGATGTGAAGAACTTTTAGTAGGCTCAGGAATCTGTACGCCAGTTGAGAGGCGGGACCAAAGAGCCAGAGTTCAACCCCCACAAGCACAACTAGCCGAGTACATACATACATATACAGAGTATACAAACATCCATAAACATTTCATTTATTTATGCTTTTAAATACATGTCTTGTATCCTCAGCATAAGGTACGAGGTCTTCTCTTGTTTAAGGTAAGAGTATGTAATAGAGAGATGTTGGCCTATGGCCCATTTCCATTGCTGGGGGTCTTCACCCTGGATTGGTGAACATAATCTTTTATCACTCGAGCAGATAAAACCCCTTTGTGTGATTGGAATACTTTTTGATGATTTTATGAGCAAAAAAATCAAAGCCAGAGGTTGCAAAATTTGAGAATGGATGACACTAAAATGCATCATCAGGTCGTGTACTGAAAAGTAACAGCCGACTCTATTAAATATAATAACATAGGAGTATGCTGGGGCTTTGTGATGTTACTTCATGGTTGTTTTATGTTTATGTAAGAGATAATTTAGGTCAAGTTTCAATATATTGTGTGTACTTAGTAAATGAAAGTAATAAATGTAGTTTAGTGCATTTTTGGCTTGTACAGAAGATTATACCCATAACAAAATTCGAGTGATATACATTGGTTGACTCCTGTATTGATTCGTGTGATTGACTGCCGAAAGGTAATGTGTGTAAATGTAATGGTGGTAGAGAAGAAAGTCCTGTGAGAGGGTCCTGGTAGTACAGTCGGGTTTGTTCCCTACTCACAATTGAGAATTTGGGTTAGTCCCAGGCGGGACAGAAATGATTGGGAGCTTTCCTATCACCTAATGCTGCTGTTCACCTAGCAGTAGGTAGACACCCAGGAGTTAGTCAGCTTGCTGTCGGGTTGCATCCTGGAGGGGTGGTGGGGAACCTTGATATAAGTCTTTAATGTGTATAATTACACTCTGGCTGCCTGTCCCCCTGACACAATGAATTATTATTCATTATTTTTGAAATGTGGGTAAATAGACATTCTGCAAGTTCAAATATTTGGGCTCTGTGTCAAAAGAATTTGTGGAAAGTTAAAATAAAGACAGGAAAAGCAAGTGACTGGTTGGGAAGAATAAGATAGAAGGAAACAGCATGAGGGGTTCTTGCAGTGGTAGTTGCCAAGTCTTTCTATGTAAGAAGCTGCATGACAAGAGCTTGAAAAATGAACAATGTGAAATGCATTTGTGATGTTATGATATGAGACCGAGGAATGAAAGGTCATGTAAAGATGTAGAGTATAAGAAGTGAATTGTTAAATTTAATCTTATTGAAGAAATGGATGATAATAGAGGGGTTAAAAGAGTGTATTAAAATGAATGTTAAGGTAAGAGATGGCCAGGAATGCCAAAAAGATGGACAGACACGGTGCTAACCTAGTTGTACAGTAATTATATCTACAAGACCAAGATTTGAGTGCGAGAGAGAAATTGGGGATTAAGTGTGACTCAAATTACTGTATTTCAAATACAGTATATATATGTTTCATGACCACTAGTGAAGCTTCAGTTAAAAACAAGATTTACTTGACTTCCCTGCCAGGTATATGGAAATAACATGAGACCACAGACTTGGACAACACAGTGGAGGGTTGCCCAAGGACAAGAGTAGTGGGCAGTCTCACATTTTGGACTCGCTAGATCATGGAACTTAAACTTTACATTCCTGTTTGCTTCTGTTTAATTATCATGTTTCCAATTTTAGCTGTACAGAAAATAAAAACAGATTTCACTGTATCAAGTTTTTTAATTCCATAGAAGAGGTTTAATTTTAAGAACATTCAAATCTTTTATTAAAAAATGATTGTTGTGAAGTTTGTTACCTAGAATTTTTTGCTTTAATAGGCAGAATAAAATCAAGTAAGTAAAATTAGTAATACTTTATTCCATTGTATGTATTGTCTAGGGGGCCCAGTAGCACAGTTGGGTTTGTTGTTGACTCAAAATTGGAAATTCCGGGTTCAAATCCCAGGCAGGACAGAAATAGTTGGGCACATTTCCTATCACCCAATGCCTCTGTTTACCTTGCAGTAAATAGGTACCCAGGAGTTTGCTTATTGTGGGGTTGCATCCTGGAAATAGTTTAACATAGGGGGGTAAAGGGGCCTTGCTATAAACCTAACATGTTCAAGTTCCCTGACATGCTATCTCTGGACGACGCATGTTGCTTTTGACCCGGTCCTCTAGCTATTCCTTGTGTTGTGCCATCCAGTCCACGGAGGGTGGAAACTGGCGGCTTGCAGCATGTCAGTGGGACAATCGGATCCGCAGCAGACGTTGAGAGTTTTCTTATTCAAAGGGGGGGGGCAGGCCTCTGTTGCAGAAATAGGACGAAAAGCGTCTTTTCTTCACCGCATGATGTGTGCTAGGGGCTTGTTTGTCAAATGTATGTGCGTGCGCACACACACAGGCTACCTGTCACTGATAACATGAATTATAACAAATTATGTACAGAGGTTACAGAAAACAATTATAGTGCATTCTGCAGAGTATAAGTGAGCATTCCTAAGAGGATCTACTAATACATCCTGCCCACTTGCTTAGTGTGTATCAGTGAAAGCCCCTTGTTAGGAGGGTCTAGTAGGGATTTGTAAGCATTAATAGGCTAGGTATACAAAAAAAAAATTGGGTAAGCTGGTGGTTATTGATTGATCTTACCTTTTGTATTGTCAAGAAATTTTACTATTATGAGAATTTGTGGGTTTAAATCATATCACATACCCATCAATAGTAGATAGGAAAGCATTCACTAAGATAATTTTAATATGGCACATGAAAAATATTATGTAATTGCAAATTTAATTGTGAGCAGATTACCATAAAGAAATATAAAGCTTTGAATTTGTTACAGTATTAGCAAATTTGAGCACAAAAACTAATTACGGGATTTCCATATTGCTTCAATCATTACCAGCATTAACTGAGAAATCAATTGACTTCCAATCATCCTTTGTAATTGTAATTGTAATTTCCAATGACTGAAGTTTTCAAACAATACAGAATAAATGAGTGTAGAAGGTAACAATGAAAAGACTTGTATTTCCATAAATAAAAATCTGGATTTTGCCTGGCACCTTTTAGTAATGCCCATAACTTATAAGAATAATTATTAAAAGTAATAAATTATCTATATATTTGTTTATATGCTTTGTTGTTAATGTTCTATAAAACCTACATAGTTTCTGAGTATATATTTAAGAACAATTTATAGGCTTGTTATAATTCATTAAAATTTGCATTAATGGTGTGTATATTCCTTTGAATAATACACTGAAAAATAAGCCTGAATATTTGCTTGTCACTATCACCTCACACTGAGGGCTGGTGTGGCAAAGTTTTGGCAGGACATGCAAAATCATTCCATTGGGAAATGTTGCCTGTAATCTATCTCTAGTGGTTTATAGTGTAGTACTCTTATAATAATGCATATTAACACTATATTAACTGGCTTGTGGGCCGAGCTGAACTTACGACAAGCTGGCATTGGAGGTCAATATCTCAATACATTCCTGGGCTGCCATTCAGACTCCACTGGCTACCTGTATATGCTCTCTATTACCCTTGGAGGTTGGCTGAGTGCTTATACCTACTCTTATTCTCATTATATACCTTGTATTTTGCCAACCTTCTCAGACTCTAGAATAGTCTCTTTCTCACAGACTATTGGTGGGGTGACCAGGCTCACAAGTCAGGGCCCCTCTGGATCTGTTTTTTACCTTTGATCAGGAAAGAGTGAGGTGTATTAGTTTAGTTGACAATTATTTGTAGTGGTAATTGGTTTCCCTTTGTTAGGGATATGTAACTTGTTAGGCTTATTGCAGTCTCTCTCTCTTCCCCTCTCTCCCTCTATCTCTTCCTCTCTCTATCTCTTCTTCTCTCTATCTCTTCCTCTCTCTATCTCTTCCTCTCTCTATCTCTTCCTCTCTCTATCTCTTCCTCTCTCTATCTCTTCCTCTCTCTATCTCTTCCTCTCTCTATCTCTTCCTCTCTCTATCTCTTCCTCTCTCTATCTCTTCCTCTCTCTATCTCTTCCTCTCTCTCTCTCTCTCTCTCTCTCTCTCTCTCTCTCTCTCTCTCTCTCTCTCTCTCTCTCTCTCTCTCTCTCTCTCTCTCTCTCTCTCTCTCTCTCTCTCTCTCTCTCTCTCTCTCTCTCTCTCTCTCTCTCTCTCTCTCTCTCTCTTCTTTCCCTCTCTCTTTTCCCTCTCTCTTCTTTCCCTCTCTCTTTCCCTCTCTTTCTCTCTCTCGTGTATATATATATATATATATATATATATATATATATATATATATATATATATATATATATATGTCGTACCTAATAGCCAGAACGCACTTCTCTGCCTACTATGCAAGGCCCGATTTGCCTAATAAGCCAAGTTTCCTGAATTGATATATTTTCTCTAATTTTTTTCTTATGAAATGATAAAGCTACCCATTTCATTATGTATGAGGTCAAATTTTTTTATTGGAGTTAAAATTAACGTAGATATATGACCGAACCTAACCAACCCTACCTAACCTAACCTAACCTATAACTTTATAGGTTAGGTTAGGTAGCCGAAAAAGTTAGGTTAGGTTAGGTTAGGTAGGTTAGGTAGTCGAAAAAACATTAATTCATGAAAACTTGGCTTATTAGGCAAATCGGGCCTTGCATAGTAGGCTGAGAAGTGCGTTCTGGCTACTAGGTACGACATATATATATATTATATATATATATATATATAATGTACCTAGTAGGCTGAACACAGTTCTTGGCCTACTATGCAAGGCTTGATTTGCCTAATAAGCTAAGTTTTCCAGAATTTCAATATTTTTCAAAAAAAATTTCTAATGAAATGATAAGGCTATTCATTCAATTATGAATGAGCTAATTTTTTAAAATTTGAATTAAAACTAACGTAGATATATAACCGAACGTAACCAACCCTACCTAACCTAACCTAACCTATCTTAACCTAACCTAAACTAACATAACTAAATCAATAATTTATGTTCTTAATATAATATAATAATATTTACAATAAACCAATAGGAAACAATTTATTGAAAATAAAGAAAATCTCTCGGCCTATTAGGCAAATCAGGCCTTGCATAGTAGGCCGAGACGTGCGTTCTGGCTACTAGGTACGACATACATGTATATATAAATTATATATATATATAAAATGTGTGTGTGTGTATTTGTAATATATCGTATCATTTCGGTAACATAGTTACATTAATGAGGGTATAAGCGCCGTCATATCACCCTCCTGCCCCAACAAGAAGGGCGGAGCCTGAGAGCAGAGAATGTAAGGTGTGGGTACATTGCCAGACCAAGGTTTCACAATTAAGAGACGTACTACTGCCCTCTGGGTCTCGGGATCACACCGCGACATGGTAGGATGCCAAGGGGCGGGTTGTGGGATCACCCCCAGCACTCCCCACCCCATGCCCTCATGCATGGGGGATCGCCCCAATACTCCCCACCCCATGCCCTCTTGCGGGGTATTGTGCGCGCCATATGCACCTGCATGCGCGTCAAGTCTCTATTAATCTTCCGTTCCATCGGAGGGAATGTTATTCTATTGTGTCTGGGGGCCACCTGCACCACAGGGGTTCAAGTGGAAGCGTGTTCTCGCTGACGGTTAGATTTTGTCCAATGTCGTAAGCCTGTTGAATAAGACAGCTGTTGTGGGTTGTATCTTGTCACAGACAAGTTGTGACCACCAAATATTATATTTGTACTGTTGCTAAATCTAAATATTATTTAAATTTAAATATCGCTTAAAAATCGTAAATCATTTGTTAAATCTCCTTAACTGTTCAAATATGATAACACTTAAAGCTAAATAAGAAGTTACCACATTAAACTTATAAATAAATTTCATAATTACATTATGCCCAAGACACTACGTATAGTTAGCTTTATATAGTGTTCATTTCTTACCTACGATTTCTCCAATGCATCATATGTATATAGAAATATATATTTTTACATTTATAGAAATATAAATTGTGCTGCTAGTGAAAGGCTTAGATCAAAGATTCTAGCACGAATCTTCTTTTTCACGTGTTCCTCACTATAGAAGAAACTACTTTAAGTTTAGCAAAATAAAGCAAAGTTTAAAAAAAAAATAAAGCAAAGTTTATTTTACAATTTTAATGGACCTGCTTGTCGCTAAATAGGAAGAGGTGGCGCTATATATTCAGTGTAAGATGAGATAATATATTTCTAAGTGGAATGGTCACATCAGCTTGTTTGTAATCACCTTTTCAAGTGCCTATCAGAGGTTTTTGAGAAAGGTTCAGGTAAATACGTTATATAATAGATTAATACAAGTCGGCCTCATTCAGTTTTTAAAATGAACTTTTGGAGAATTAATTTTTCATCTTCTCAAGAGAAGAAACTGAGAGTTGAGTAGGAATATGAGGGAAGGCGCTTGACGTATGCAGGAGGGACGATTGCCAGGGGTGGGGACTATGAGGGCAATGACCAGGCAGGGCACGATGGTCAGGTAGGGGTCGGCGGAGGCAGAGAGCCAGAGGTAATGACTGAGGGCACGATAGCCAGGGGTAATGACTGAGGGCACGATAGCCAGGGGTAATGACTGAGGGCACGATAGCCAGGGGTAATGACTGAGGGCACGATAGCCAGGGGTAATGACTGAGGGCACGATAGCCAGGGGTAATGACTGAGGGCACGATAGCCAGGGACTTATTTTTTTTTCCTGTACTTCAGAAGTAAAGCGGCATTT